TACGATTGTAGAAGTTGGTGAGCGGTAGCGAACAGGGAACTTAGCCCCGTAGTCTTCAAATAAAATTTCTCGATTTAAGAAACAAATTTGTTAGAACAGCTAATTTGAAGAATAAAACTCGAAATAAAAAAAATCCGAATTATCTAGCTTATTAACTAATTCTTATTGATTAGAAAAAAATATACATTCAAAACTTTTATTTCTAAGGTACCGAAACAACGATATTCTCTCCTAAATGAAATGTTTTTCACAGGCACCCAACTCCATTTTATAGGTGAATATCTAAGGTCGATGTGAAACATACATAAATTCTTGCAGTAGTTTAAAGAGTTAGACACGAATCTTCAGTTATTTTTTTCTCCTGTAAATTACATGAGTTCTGTTCACTTTAATTTAGAAAAATACTCCATTAACTATTTTATTTCGTAAATTAAATTAATTCTGTTCCCTTTAATTAAAAAAATAGTTCATTAACAATTTTTTTTCTGTAAATTATATGAATTCTGCAACCTTTAATTTAGAAAAATACTCCATTAACTATTTTATTTTGTAAATTATATTAATTCTGTTCCCTTTTATTCAGAAAAATATTTCATTAACAATTTTTTTCTGTAAATTATATGAATTCTGCTCCCTTTAATTTAGAAAACTACTCGATTAACTATTATTTTTATAAATTATGAATTATGTTTCTTTTAATTCAGAAAAATACTCCCTTAACTATTTGTTCCGTAAATTATATCAATTTTGTTCCCTTTAATTTATAAAAACTAGAGGGCTCCGCCCCCTGCTCGCTAACGCTCGCCAACCCCCGGAGAATTGCTTCGCAATTCTTGCTTGGTTTGCTTCGCAAAACCAAGAATGCTTTGATTTCATATATTTCAATATTAANGCATTTTTTTCGAAAAAAATGAAATATCTGTAACTATCAAGATTTCTTTTATAATTCTGGCATATATATAAAACTGCTTCTTTTCCAAGATAAAGTAGATATTGTTGAAAAATTTAAAAAAGAAAAAAGTAAACTCCTCCCCAAAACTAGCTATAACTGAAATGGTTTTACTACCAGCCTTTCCTCTTTTCCGTCTCGCTTTCTCCCCTGGCTAATTTGAAGAATAAAACTTGAAATAAAAAAAAAATCCGAATTATCCAGCTTACCAACTAATTCTTATTGATTAGAAAAAGATATGCATTCAAAACTTTTATTTCTAAGGTACCGAAGCAACGATATTCTCTCCTAAATGAAATTTTTTTCATTTCTATGTAATTTATCTATCTCACTGCCTATTATCGACACGATGAATGAGTTCGGCTCGATGTGAAGCATACATAAATTCTTGCAGTAGTTTAAAGAGTTAGACACGAATCTTTTTTTCTCCTGTAAATTACATGAGTTCTGTTCACTTTAATTTAGAAAAATACTCCATTAACTATTTTATTTCGTAAATTATATGAATTCTGTTCCCTTTAATTCAGAAAAATACTTCATTAACTATTATTTTTATAAATTATATGAATTATGCTTCTTTTAATTCAGAAAAATACTCCCTTAACTATTTTTTTCGTAAATTATAACAATTTTGTTCCCTTTAATTTATAAAAATATTTCATTAATTATTGTTACAAATTTTAAGAGATTTTACCATTGTTGTAAAAAGTCCTTTTCTAAGACATTTTATACGAAGTTTGTTTTGTTTGAGTATGCATGTAAATACTGAACAGGAGATTACAAGTATTTCTAAAACATGAAAAATAAAGTCTATTTACTAGTACTAGTCGAAACACTTTTGAATCTGAAGAGAAATGAATAAGAATTCTGAGGTAAGAATTTAAATCATACAAGGTGAAATTTCCGTAGTTTCAACATTTGAAACTTCATGGTTAACTCTAGCTTTTCCTGAACTCTCTTTTAATGTAATTAAATGTGTGCGAAAGAGAATTCATCATGAAGGGTTTCTCATACGCTATAGCGTCCTAATACAAGTTTAATAAAAATTTTCTATTCTTTAATTAACTACCACTGAAAAAAGTAATTTGTAAGAATCTCAAATGTGGAGGGTAGGCCTCAAACAGGGATGTCGCAGGTGATTAAAAATATAAAAAGTGGTAGAAACTCAATTCACTTTTTATTTATTTACTATCTCTTTTTAAAGGTATACCTGCAAGTGACGTAGTGTGGGTATCTCGCTTCAGATTGGTTGTTGAAACGTGGCTTTTGCTTACGTTAACAACTGTTCTTTCCATTCTGTTTCGAGTAGGCTAAGCCCTTTAAATATTAATTCTCTTAGGTGACGCACTTTATATTCTTTCACAAAAATTTCACTATATATTTCTTACTTAACGCAAAGACAGCCACGACACCTTGTAGAACATAAACTAACTAATAATGCATCGAAGTTGCTAGGTACACAAACAAAAATAAATCACAATAACGATAAAATTCATAAGCAAATAGTAAATCTAAGTTAAATGAAAAACGTAGACGAGAAACAATTATATTTCAACAAATTCAATGCATGATGTGGTGCTGTTTTTAATTAACTTCAAGTTAATTAACATTGTAACTTATGTATAGAAACTTAGCTCAACTTTGACTCTCCATTTTGCTTATGAACGATCAACTGGCACTGACGTCATTGGTCACATGTTTAGGTATTGTGATCTTCTTCTTCTTAAAGTACAAATACCCAATTATTTAATCTTAATTATTACAATAAATTGCATTTCAAATTATTCATGTTAACAAACTCTATCCTTAATTGTTCTTTCAATAGTAAGCTAACAAAAGTATGCTTAAATTGCAGATTTTAATTTCTTTTAATAAAAGTTTTAATTTTATTGGACAATACTTTTTTCATTTTTCGTCGTCTGTATCTTATGAGCTTAAATCAGATACTCCAATGCTTGATGCTGTTGCAAATTATTTTCTTTTGAGTGGAATGGAGAAAAAAAATCATAGTCTTTTGAAACAAACAGCATTTCTAAAATTTTTGATAAGAATAAGAAACGCCTTCGTTTATTTGACCTTAAATGTATCGGTTTTAAAGAAGGCAAAACTCTTTTAATCCTAGTTTATTAAATTATGAATACATTAAGTTATAATCTGACTACCACTAGGTAAAATATTTTCTAAAATTACGGAAATTCTGTAGTAGTGTCTGTTTACAATACTAACAACAGAAAACTTCAGTTGTATCAAGAGATTACTAAAAATTACGTCTACAATACGGATTTCTAAAACATGAGAAGTAAAAATAACTTCTTATAATTATTATTAGAGGAAGGTAAAACGAGAACGGAGTAAAAACTCATTTATATCTATGATTCGTACGAAAGGTCGGTAAGTTTAAAGTTTGATTTCTCAAGAGCTATTCAACCAATTTCGCTCAAAGTTTCAATTTTGTCATATGAAATTACATTTTTTGAAATGGTGTAAAATTCATCTATAACTCTTTAGTCTATTATTAAATAAAATAATAAATAAATGTTCAAAATTGTTTTTTTTTTAACATGGAATTACCTTTGGATGAACGCATTTTGTAATTACGTGAAAGAATTTTTCGACTAATTAAAAAAATTTTAAAGTTCTGCAAAAAGTAATAGTAATTGTTCGAAACTGTAAACAGCTCTCTCAATCAAACAATAAGGACCAAATTTCTAAATTGAACCCCCCTCTTATTTTGAAGTTCTAGAAATCGAATGCATCGAGAGAAAAAAGTATATTTATTTAGAGAACGTACGTTTTTGAGTCTGATTTTCTGTGTAACTTCTTAAAATATCGTCTGCACTAATTAATTAGCTAATTTAAGGTCATAATTTTCAATTTTGTTTAGTATTGGAATGAATTTTGGTTGTTTAATGAAATTGCATTTTTGAATTTATTCAGAGTCTTTGTATTACTTTAAATTTTTCTGTTTCAAAAAAAAAAGAAGAAAAAAAAAGAGATTAAAGTGTGCTTATATTTTCATTCAGTGGATAATTCTTTCTGTTACCGACCATTTGTTTAAAAAATAATCTATAGATTGACTTCACATCCAAATTTATAAATATTTATATTATATATATATTATGGTTAACAGAATTATCTTTTTTTCGCGTAATGAATTCTAGTGAACGTGGTAGGACTTTCAAAATGCTGACAAAATTTACTAATATTCTGAAAGCTTTAGTTTTTGACTTTTATAATTATAATTTTGACTCTATAAATTATATTTTCTGAAAATGTAGCAGTTGGCAGCCTTGCAAATACATTTATCTCGTGTAAATATGTAAATAGTTGCATATATTTTCTATTTTATTACACCTGGTTCTATTTTATTACCTAATGGTCTTTCTACCTAATAGAAGTGTTTCCACTTCTAAATTCTTAGGCATCAGATATTCTTCTTTCCAGACCAGCAGGTCCATACACAATGTTGTATCAGTTAATTAATTTAACTAACTTATGAAAATATCACATTTTTCTATATTTGCTTCAACCGTATCTTATGTAGAAATCTTAAACTTGATAACACTACTCTTGTAGCAACTTGCATAGCTGCCTACTTTTAAGCATTTTGTAGGAGTTTTTTTTCCCCAGAGGAACTAGAATACTAAGAAAACTTGCATAATTTGTATTTACTTAATTCAGCTAGCATCAAAAAATAGAGCTCAATTAACGTCAAATCTTTTATAAAGTTGCTTGAGTTATTTATCCAATGTAGTTGTCGAATTAATTTAAAATTACGTTTACTGAAAGAACAATCGAATAAGAAGAAAATAAATTAGCTCCCACTGAAAAAAATCGTAAAATGTTGCAAATAAGGAAGGGGAATATAATTTAAGCCCTTTGCTTAAAAACGAATATATCATGCCTCCGCATACAAAATGCTACAGGTTGAAAAATAATTGTATATTTTATTTGGAATTACTTTACATCCAAATAACAAATGAAAATGACAAAACTCAACTTTTTTTCTATTTCAAATGCATTTGCACATAGCCTGATGAGAATTTGTTTCTGAGAAATTTGTTTTAGTTTATTTTAAGAAGAAGCCATCATACTTTAATCTCTTCTTTCACAATTCACCTGAAAGAGAAAAAGAAAAATAACTAAAATAAAATATTTGTAAGAAATATTTAATATATGTATATGAGAATAAAGATCAAATAACTGAGAGGTGTATTCTAGAACAATCACAAATTATTAGGAAAAAACAAAGGTTCTAAAATTCTATATTAATTGTTAAAATTTAAAATTGGCTTTTTTTATCTAGCCATTTTCAATTACATGCAATTAAAGAGTGTTTCTTTACTGCTGTTTCTCGAAATTTTTACCGTTTTTTAATTAAACTTGGTCCAGAAGGTATTTATATATATTTGGAAAATCTAGGAGAGATTGCGGTCAACGACGATCGGGATAAAAAGTACAGTACTCTCTCTGCGATTCCAGGTATTATACAGTGGCAGTACTGCAATGTATAACTTCAATGTGAAAGCTAAGTCATGCGAGTATCAAGGGTAAAACATTGCTATTTTACCTTTCGATAATTAACCGAACTATTATTTACTTTGTTACCATATGAACCATTATTTACCATAATTTAATTCGTGTTATCGTTCCGGCGAAAAAAAATCTTTGCTTTGTCTTGACTTTGTTTAGATTTTATTGCCAGTACTTTGTGTTTTAATCAGTTACATTATACTGACATGAATATAGATTTGAAATCAACTCTCAGATATTGCACCATTATCTTCCCTGTCAAATGTGGATACTTTAATATAAAATAGGAATTTCAAAAGGTCATATTTTTATTATTATTACTTTAGAATCATTAACGATGTTTATAATTCTAAAAAAAATAAAGGTAACACTGAACTGAAAATAGGAATATTTTTCTTTTTACTCTAATTAAATTTACTAAATCTATCTTTGCAAGGGCAATTTCCTCATATTTGAAACAATGGTCAATTATACTTGCAAACGAGGTGAGTCCTAAATTAGTTAAGCTCAATTAAAAGCAATTTGTTTTTTCCTTATCCATTTAGCGAAAGGAAGTTAGTTAAATTTATTTCACAATCTGCGAGCGAAACTGTTACTACCTAAGATGTTTAATGTGCCGTTTTAAATATTTGAATTGTGTGATAAATTATCATCATTATATTCATATAATATACACTGAGTTTCTAAACAAAAGGAAACTTTTTCTCCTCCTGTAAAAGACGTGGAAAAAAACTTACGTCTGAACGTCTATTTAGAAAGCTTTCGGAAAGGGTTCATGCAAAAATATTGTAATAATAATGAGGGAAAAAGGCATAAATCTATTTTCTTTTAATAAAAACATTTCTAAAAAATAAAATTTATTAAAATGAAATAACCCCACACAATGGCTTGAAAAGCTTTGGAACAGCTCGCGCCAGCGGTAGCCAAATTGTGTTCTGTACAACACTGGGACTCCGTTTCGATCCAACCTATAATTCATTCTTTTGAAATTATTTCAAGAAAAATTTCGATGAAATAGAAATGAAGTATTTTTGAAAGAAAAGAAAATATTTCTAATAACATTACATTGAATAAATTATGAAAAGAACAAACATTTATAAAATATTGCATTAGTATTTCTTATTGCACTTTTCAAATTAAAATAAGATAACTAAATTCTTCAATGGAAAAATATGTTTCCCTAATAGCCCTTCTCAACGTTTATAGTTCTTTTAAGTTTTTATTTTAAAAAAATATCGTTATTCGGCCTATTTTATTCATTTTCAGCTTATTTATACACACAAAAACTAAATCCATTACTAAACTAGATACAGTACAAGGAATGCAAATTTAACTGACGGACATGACACCTAAATTAAGATTATTAATGATGAAAAATCTCTTCTAAATAAATATTTTAAAAATAGTATTTCAAAGGTTATAACGAGATATAATTATAACTTTTATAGTAATACAATCACGAGATCTGGCCCGCCGTCCTCACTGACAAGCAGTCTCTCTTTTCATTTAGTGATTGTCAGATAGTAGGTTATCTTAAGACTGTTTTTCGAAATCTCTGTAGTTGCATGTAATAATGAGTTTTTGCGAATAATATGCTATTTTCATAACTGATATGCGTTTGCAACAATTACTCAGGGCAGTTAGATTAAGTTTAACCAATCTTTAGCCAGCCTTCTATGTTTATTCTGAAAGTGGTGCAAAACGTCAGAATGGAGAAAAGCTACAGTTTCGTGAAAGTAAAAAAACTTTAGTGGTCTATTTTTTTAATATTAAAAAACTAACCCCAATGCTGCATTATCGGATGGGTAATAAAAATTTGTAATAAAATGGGAATAAAACATTGATTTTGATTAGTTTCTTCTAGGAGGAAAAATGTCGCCAAATTGGCAATTTTTTAATAAGTTCAATAACTTTTAAAATAATTTTGTAATTTGTCCGTTCTAAAGTCCAGATAATTCTTTAAAGAAGGATGGCATTTACAGTTTAAAATATTTGGCTTCAAATTCATTGACTTAATTGGTACTTGAACTGTGGCTTTTTTATTTTTCTTGACGAAAGAGGTTCGAAAAACCATGTTAAAGCAGGTAAGGTTCTGTAGATAGAACCTAGTCCAGACACAGGTAATACAGATTCGAATCTCAAAGATGGACGTCTCTTTTCCATATATTCTATGACTTGCATCATCCACAAATTTGACAAGAATACCTCAAGTGACAGACAGATCATGGGCTCCATCGCTATCGAACTAACCAGTAGAGGCTTTCGTAATTTTTTCTCTTCATATAAAATGAATGCAAGAGAGCGTTCAGTTAAAAAAAAAGTCTACAAAGAAGAGAAGACGAGTAAGTCGACTGGGATTTGGCTCTTTTACTTAATTTTGTTGGGCTACCCAATTTTATTTATATGGCTACCCAAAACTAATGTTGTCCAACCGATTGTAAACTACTTTATAATTATATGGAAGTCCATATAAACTCAAACAGAAAATTAACGTAGGACAAAATGAGAATAGAGGCTTTAAGTCACGTTTTAAAATGTACTTCTTTTAAATTTTTATTTTGTTAGGTATTTAATAGTGCATGTAAATTTAAAAAGGAATGATTTATAGTATATCTTTTCTAAAAAATATAAGCATTACCAATTCAAATAAATCTACCAATGGTAGACTCCTGCGTATGGATAATGTGCATAGGGTAACGGGACAGCTGGTACTCCTGGTACACCCTGATACACTTTGCCTGTGACAGCGCTGGAGACTTGGCCTGTGGTGTAGTCGTAATAATTACCTACATGATCTTTAAAACCGCCTGAAACTGGCAGTTGGGCAAATGCTATGGACAGCATGGCAAACAAGACAACGAGGCACACCTATAAATAAAGAAAACAGGAATATTAAAAATTATCGAAAATAATCCTTAGCCTATACAAAAATCAAGGAGTACAAGCAAAAGCGAAGAATTAAACACTTAAATAAATAAAACTCATTTTATTAAGTATCAAAATTTTAAAGACTTAGACTGAAGTTGTGTACAGAGTCTCTTCACTCTTTCATGTGTAATAGAGCCCGTGGGCAACTAATACAATAACAGTATAAGCGGTCATCGTGATACAGAATGGTCAGAGAAATACAGCAGCAACAGTAGACTTGAGTTTATACTGCTGTCCTACTTCTAGCTATGTTAGGAGTTAGTAATTGGTGGAATACTCCCGAGGGGAGAAGTTTTCCTAGTCCTAGTGTTTTGATTTTATTGGGCACCTGGGTCGCGAAGCGACCCCTATCCCATTCAGGTAGAAGTTTTAAGTTTATCGCAAAATTGATATGTTGAAATATAAATTAAAATAAAAGGTGGTATTAAAATGCTTTGTTTTTGTTTACCTATATTAGAATTGTTTAAAATGTTTTTTACAATCTTCAATACTGCAAAAATAGCCATACATTTTAAAATATTACGTAAGGATAATTTAGGACAAAGTTTAAATTTCGTAGTTCCATTATTAATGTATAGTTAAAAAAAAACTTTTGAATCGTATTCTATCATTATTAGTCGCATGTCTCCTCACTTAGGGTAATGCTTTCATAAAACTAAAAGTGAAAATAAAGTTCAGCTTGTTTCTGATTAGATTAGGACAATTTAAAGAAAATTTATATTAAAATAAATATTGCTAGATGGGACTTCTTTTTAATAAATAAAAAATTATAAATTGAGTATGGGAAAATAAATGTATAAATAACATATCTGCAATCGTCTCTCGATTTGTCAGAATATTTTTCTCAAACGTCTGTAGTAGTGTTAAATTTTATTCATTAGCACTTTATCATTGATTGAATAAATTAGATTAAAAATCGTTTTGTCCACTACACAATTTTTAAATGCGAGCAAATTTAAACAAATTAAATTTACTCCTTATTTGATATTTCACCAGTTTTATAGTGAGAATCTCCGAGGTATATGTATATGCCTCACTTTTTATAGATTCAGGGGGCTGCCAACTTTCTACGCTTTTTAGGAAAATTTCTTCTAGTTGTAGCTAAGTTCAAATTTTAATGTATGAATCTTGGTTTTGTAAATTTAATTTAAATATTCTTTCCACACCATTACGTTCAAGTGATACCAGAGTTCATATAAAATACCACTCAGAATAGCTTTATCGTGATGAGACTTTTAAAGTTTTGGCAAAATTACCAAAAAATTTGAAAACCTTGATTTTACTTGTTTACTACTCTATAAATAATTTTTTAAAAGGCGTTGTTGTTGGCAGCCCTGTATATTGTGTATTTTATTTTTTATAAATATTTAAATTATTTATATGTCATGGTGCTTAAAATTATTATGAAGTAATATTATTGAATCTTTATAAGATGTGATCCCCCTTTTTTAAAAAATAAAAATTCTAAATTATTGATATTATGAATGTAAAGTATTTTTCGGGATATGACAAACACTTTAAGTTTTTTTTTTTTCTAAAATGAAGAAAAATTTTCTGACCTTTCCAATTAAGTTTGTGTACATTGTATTTCAGATAATATTGTGTACATGGTATAGTACATAATATGTTACATAGTATTACACATAGTATCTTGTACATAATATTAGTCAGCAAATAAAATTCAGAATTTGAATTTTTATCGAATAATGAAACTTATTTTTATTGACAGACGTAGAATTTGTTCGTTACAAAATGATACTGAAATAATTGTAATCATGCATGATGAATTTATATTTATTAGATTACTTTTAAATATTATCGACCATAAGTTAAAAAAAGGAATAAGAAATGTGAAATTATTACCTGATAGAAAACTTCATACGCTTCAAAAATATACAAAATTGAACTTGTGATATTTACATAATTGATATCAAATTTGCTTATTTTTGAAGTGTATGAAGTTTCCTATCAGATAATATCTTACTGTACTGGTAATTCTAGTTTCTTGGGATTAATTTTTAATGTAAAATTAATTTTAATTTTAATGCAATCTTTGAAAACCAAATTTACTTCCCCTGAAATTTTGAGTCAGCGTAGCCAGAACCGGGTATGATCGCAGTTTTCCTGACTAATGTTTTGGAATTACAGGTTTTGAAAGCATGCGAATTAATGTTTTGGATCACAACTTATAATAGTCGATGATATACTTTTTTACTGCTGAATTTTCGACTGTCGATCATTTAGTCCTCAAATATGCCAACTGCTTCGCTTTCTGTAAAAGTTTTAATAAATGGATAGCGAATTTTATTGTAAAACCTGTCAATTAAGGATAATTATGCTTACTGCTTATAAGAGTAAACATGAGGTTAATCATCACCTCTCCACCCGGTATTTTATTAGTAGTCTGCGCACCCTATTTAAAAACTGAACAGTTGTGAGCATGAACCCAAATTTTATTTTAAAAGTAATTGAGAGAAATTTATCATATATATTTGAGAATTGAATGTGCAGTGGTTGACAAATGAATAAGACAAACCAATGATATTCATAAATTAAAAAATTTTTTAGACATATATTTGCTACCACTTTCTTATTTTTACTAGATTTTCCTTTCAATGGCTCTTTCGTAAACTAGCATATACATTTTTAGTTGTCTGATCGAACAATCTATAAGAAACCGTGTGGAGGCTTTCAGTTATAGAAGGCGTTGGATAATTCGAGTAAATTTTTAACTTATATTATTATCGTTACTAAAATGATTTGAAGAAATAAATGCAATATCGAACACACAAAAATAGTTTTATTTATATAGGCAGATGCCAACTTGCTCCGGGCAGCGAATAAAGATTTTCAACTGGTAGTTTATTAATTATGATTCTTGGTTTAATAAATTCAATTTAGTAGATTTTTGTACACCACTATTTCTAAACAATTCGTAGGCCACTAACTCACCACTTTTATCAGTTATGTCATGCTAAACTTTTTAAAAACTATCTAAATCTGTCTAATATTTGCAAATTTAGTTTGTAGTTGTTTATCCTATGGCAAGACGAGCAAGCCATGTAAAACTAGCGTGGCATTCAACGTGTTAATGCATGCGTTATTATAAAGGTAAATTTCAAGGTATCTGCGTTACGGCGCCTGCCTCTTCAAATAAGTTCGAGTTTAAAGTACAATAATGTGAATTATTTTCAAAGAAAAAAAGAAATTTCCAAATAATATAATATAATATTTACAAGAGCGAAAAAAAAATATTTACAAGTAGCGGAACCGATTGAGATATCAAAATCAATGACTAATACGGGAGTAGACTACATCATTCCTCTGCCTCCCTTGCCCCCCTATCAGTACCATCATCGCAGGTGCACAGAAAGACCACTCATCTACTGAGAATTAAATCGGGAACGAAAAACTGAAAACGATTCGCACTATTTACAATGGAATTTTGAGAGTGTGCTTTTAGGAATTTGAATTTTATGCAATTAAGTTGCATTTTATATGATGCTTCTAATTTTTGATACGTAGTGGTGAAAAAATTATTTAAAATGAAAATCTCTGCACTAGAAAATATTTTTTTTTTTACAAAGCGGATCAAGTTGGAATCTCTGGGTCATTTTAGCAATTTTTTAATATATAGATTTTAATAAATAGTGGCTAATAATTTTGTCCTGTGTGTACCAATATTACGATCGAGCATTTAACAGCTTTTTTCAGAGAAGGAAGAAATTCATGAAAAACTTACCACTTTATTCATGATTAAATCGGATGAAATGTAAAAACGGTTCTAAAAATCTGCAATAAATCAGATGATTATCGTAATGCCGAAACGATACATCTTTATATAGAGATGCTTTGTCCTTGCCCCACCCGAGACCATCCTTATTCAAATGAACAACGGATGATTAACTAAACCTGTAATTTTCAGATTCAGTATAAAGTTGAAATGGGAAATGAGACGATAATTTTGAAGGCCGAGTCCATCAGAACTTAAAATCATTATTTTATTCATTATTTAAGAAAGCAGTGTTGATGTTGTTTTATTTACTTTGATCGTTTAAGTTTTGACCATTGCTTTTGTTGGAATTATTTTATGCAAATAAATGGATGTTTTTCCCACTGTTTGAAACAAGGTTATTATGTATGATTGAGAGTGGGTAGTTTTGAAATATATTTTTTTACTGAGTTATATCAACTTATCAGTTTGTACCGAAAAATATGCCTCGGTGATTTTATGATTTAAGCATATGCATTAATTATAAAGGATTATTATGATTTGAGCATTACAGGGTGGCCACAATTAGGAAAAATGTAATTGTTAATGATTAATTGGTTTTTAGAAATTTCATAAGTTAAAGAATTTAATTTCACTTTACTAATAGAAATCTGATGGTCAAATTTCATAGTTATCTTTAATTTACAAATATTTTTTGATATAAGTTAAACCACTTTAGTTCCTTTAACTTCTTTACCACACTTCAAATTTTGACAGACTGTGCAGCGATACCAACTACTCCGAATTTCACAAAATATTTAAAAAAAAGTTAGTGATAATCTATAATCTAATATCTGTAGATTTTCTGTTAATTTTACCAACTTTTTTTAAGGACTCAGTACTGTGAAATTATAAGGTGCAGAGATGCCAACTTTCTCCGCATCGTAAAAAAGTATTTTCTATTGGTAACGAAATTCAAGTTTCTTTTTAGTTTATTACTTGACATATTTTTGCAAATTTTTCCACCTCTACATATGAAAAATTCAAAGTATCTTATTAAATGCAAGTCTATTACAGTTATCACGGAGTGACATTTTTAAAGAGTGGGAGTAAATATCCTTTACCAACAAGTTTTCGTTCCCAATTTATTTAAATTAGCAGAGAGCGGAGCAGTCGGCTTATTTATACCTATGTGAAATATTTTTTATTTTATTTATAACCATCGTTGAACAGTCAAAACATTTTGGGTTTACGACTACTAATGTCCAGCTCCGTAGGCTTGTCATTTTGAAATTTGCTTTGGTAAATGTCCGAAGTATATATTAGGTAAAGTTAAGTGCTACTGCACGGTATACATTTGCCCGGTATGCCCTACATCAATGTTTTTTTTTAATGTTCAGCGCCACTGCCTGGTATACATTTGCCCGTTATGCCCTACACCAATGTCTTTTAATGTCAGGTCGCTGATTCAAAGTTAAAACGACACTTCTGCACCCACTTCTCATTCAAACAACACTAATTATGTTTCTAGAAGTGTCGTTTTAACTTTGAACCAGCGAAGTGTCACTGCCCAGTATGCATTTTCCCGGTACTCCGAACACTGATGTTTCTCCTCATCTTTTCTCAGGAGATATTAAAATATCCAATAAATATAATAATATCAACGAATAAATTGATATAAAATCGGATGTAACAAATATTTCGGACATTCACCAAAGCGACTGTGTGATTGGTGACATTCATCAGTGTAAGTCGACATTTTCTTGATTTCGATTATTCACGGTAAGATATACACAGCTACTAAATTTATTTATTAATTTGGGGGTTCCGCCAAAAGAGGCTCTATCCTTTAGGAGTCCGTAGCCGTAACAAATTGGGAACCGCTGACTTACACATCCGAAACATGTTTGTTAAAAAACTGCGTAACATAAGAGGCTATTACAGTTTTTTTTTTCGGTGTTAAAATAAGATCAGAAAAAAGAGAATGTTCTTTTGCGAGGAATAAATCCGATACGAATGTCTCGTTAGTTCTATTCTTTAATCCACGTACACAGATAAGACGTCTTCCCAATTTGCAGCAAGCAGAGCGTATCCAATGAAGTCAACAGACCAAGTTTTTGTTTCCAATCAACTTTTATCTGTATCACGCGTGATTCATTGAGATATTATGAATCTAAAATTAATTTTATATTTGGAGAAACTGAATAACGAAGCGTTGCTGCGAGCAGCGAAAGCGTTTGGAATTTTAGATGGAGAGGAAGTAACAATGCTACGCTTCACTGATTTCATGACTTCTGTTAATAAGCACGATTTGTTTTCGTGTTACTTTATGGAATTATTTAGAAAGTTTTTAAGCCTATAAAACGCAAACAAACACTTCGAAACAATTGTCTACAAAGTATACGTTATGTAAGGCACGATTTAAGTTCAAGATGGATTATTTGACTGGAAACAGTAGAGTTTTTTCCAGTTTAGAGTCCGGAAATTGTGCCAATTTTCGTTCATTTACTCTGAGTAAAATTATATAAAATTGGGAAGTGATTCATTATTCTGCTATTATTTCAGGTGGAAAATAAGATAAATTTAAAATAATTATTATGAAAAAAGCAGACGTTTGCAACTTATGCAAGTATTATACATACCCTTCAAAATTTGAGGTTAGTGCGATTTTTTTCAGTGGAATAAGTGCATTGGAGCAGAACTTTTATACTAAATAGGTATCAAATCAGAACTTACGAACGCTACAAATACATCCTCGTTAAAATTTAATCTCGTCGGCTGATTAATCACTAATTCGTCAATAATTGATCCTCGTCATGCCTCGCCAATAATTGATTTTGTAAATTAAAGAAATTTCAATGATGACTAACTGCTTCTGTTAGATCTAAGTAACTCCAAATAAGTGTAAATTTGAAAAATTATTGTTTGTAAGACCTTGTTTAGAATATTTTAGTTCGCCTTGTTTAGAATATTTTACCTTTAACACAGAAATAGACAATTATTTTTTATGCTGTATGTCATAAACATAAATTATTAATATAAAAATAATATTTTTAATTTTTTTTACCTAAATAATGATAAAATATGAAAAATATGCTTAAGGAAAATTCTACGTTATAAGATTAAAATATAAATATCTTACTTTTTTAAAATATTTATATCTTACTTACGATTGTATTAGATATTTCTGAATTCCCTTGCAAGTAAATCTAGGAAAATTATCCTGGTGGTTTTGCGTTATAGAAGAGTTCAACTCATTAAAATGAAGATGAACTATGTTCAGTATAATTTGGTACTGAAAAAGATGCTAATGGTTATTGATACTGGTCAACACACGATAGTTGGAAATAGTGTGAAACTCGCTGCATTAGTGTATTGGCTCGAAGCGACACTGATCTATTCATCTAGTCCTTTAGTCCTATGCTAACTGTCATAAATTAATAAGAATAAATGCGGAAAATAAAGGCAAGAAAAAGGGGGGCCAGAAGAAGTCAGAAATGTGATAGTTTTACTAACAATAAGTAAAGAAGTATCTACGAAATATATATACAAGGTGACGTAGGAAAATTATTATAAATAATGAGATTAACATTTGAATGATAATAAGGTAATAATCGAAGTTAAATTCAAAAAATAATGTATATGTATTTAAAAGATAACTGTAGCAGAAATGCCAACTTACTCCGCGACAGCGATTAAATATTTTGAGCTGTATCTTTTAATGTAGGGGTGGCGAACCTTTATACACCAAAGTGCCATTTTTTCTAGAGAATTGTTTGATGAGATCATAGACGTGCCGTCAAATAATTTTGACTTCGTGATTATTGGGAAAATAATAATACTAAATACTATCAACTCAAAACTCTTTATTTACATTGAAAAAAAAAATCTTTTGCAATGTCTCAGTTATACGCGTAATTCAACTTAAAGTAACACCAGTGTGACTTCTGTTGTTGCAGATTAGATGACAAATAACTTATATTAGGTTGTAAGACATTAGTTTAAGCAGGACTGCTATTTTTTTTGCTNACCAATATTAAACAAAACTTCTGTAAATTTATCATATATCATGTTATATTTGTTTTACAACTTAAAATTACACAATTCTAACTTTATTCAATGCTAAATTGTCAATCGCATTTGCATATATTCTAATTTTACTCATAATTTATCACAACTTATGAATGCATCAAATTTAAATTCCATTCAATGCTAAAATATCAATTGTAATTGTTTACACATTAATTTAATTCATATTTTAATCACAACCTATGATTGCATCAAATTTAATACCAATCAATGCTTAAATATCAATTGTGCTTTTTATATTCACGAAAATTTCTGATTATTGCATAAATCATGACTTATATTAAATATCAAATCATGTTTAATTTATCAAGCAAATATGCTTGTTCTTCTGTAATGTTACCTAAATGCTGCATAATTCAAAATGTTTTTTAATTCAACTTGTAAATACTTCATGATGAATGGGTTAGGGGCCGCTGCGCGGCCCAGGCACCCAATTTTAGTTAAATAAAGAGAAAGAGAAAGAATTTTGTGACAGTCAAGCCGTATTGAGCCTTTTAAAAAGTTGTCAAAATTATCTGAAACTCTGCAAATGTTAGCTCACAGGTCTCTACTGTTTTTAAAAAATAATTTGTAGAACCCGGAGCTGTTGGTATCCCTTGTGTAGTTTCTGTTAGTACAGCGACCCCAGTCGTCCTGGTAATTACCGCTCGTGTTTGGTTGCTCGCTTCTAGAATCAACACCTGATCAGGGCTAACATAAGACTGAATAGTGCATAAACGAAAATAAGATGGTAAAGTGCAAAAATTAGTAAGAAAATCATTTCATTATAGCTTCTTTTGGGGGAAAATTTAAATCTGTATAATTACTAAGATATTTTGGGCAATTTCAGCATATATATAAGACTGTTTTCCATTCAGAAAATGCAAATGGTGGTAAATAGATTATAATTTAAGACTAGTGCCAGCTTTTTTTAATCTTCCTAAAAGCCAGCAATAATGAATTGGTTTAGCTACCAGATTTTCTTTTCCATTTATTTACAGCAATAAACTTTCGAGCTTTCTAAATAGCGAACTTTTTATGATATTTATATTGCGATGGAGCTCTACGCGCGAAAAAAAAATTATTTTACTTCATTTAACCCTTTAGCGGGCCATTTA